TTTAGAAAGCCATGTAAAATTAATGCAAGTTCAACTTTTAATAAACATGTCTCAAGACTTTATGGCGGTTTTTCTGCATCCCACTGCATCTCATGTTTTTAAATGAAGAAAGTACTCATTGTGATTGGTTTTCGGTCCTTTGTATTAAACTATGCGTACATACATGATGCTGTTTTGTTTATTATTGTTTAAGCAACTTAATTATAATTGGTTTATAAACATTATTTTAAACATTATGCACTTTTTTTCGCAGATAGTCATGTTATCTTATGCTTTGAATGATGCGCCCTCTTGTGGCCTCAGGAGAGAAGCCAAAAGCTTTTCTTCACCCTAACTGAAATTATGCATTTTAAATTCGAATATAATTAGAATTTTAATAATATTTAAGTACAACATTCGAATTTAGTTTTTCAGCCATTTTGACAGCCCTACAGGAACCCATTATTTAATTTTAAGTTGATGGTTTGTAATGGTATTTGTAGTGGAAATCATTTGAATGTCTGTGATGGTTTCTATTGTTTTTGTCAGCAGGGTCACCATGGGTTTTGTTATTTGCCATAAATGCGATAGGATTGCTGTAATATTGTGAGATAGTATAGCGACTGTTTGCAGTTGTGGTGGACCTATTTGGGAGAAAATTCAGGGCCGTTTTTTACTCCCAGTCCGTCCCTGGGTATGAATACTTATGCAATGTACTTATTTCAGGTTTTTTTGTTTTTAATAAATTTATGAAGTTGTGACAGTTCTGTTTTTGCTTTGCCATTATGGTGTATGGAGTGTAAATTGATGTGGGGAAAAAGTCATTTAAAGCAGTTTAACATAAGGCAGCCACATCACAAAAGATTAAAAAAATGTGTATCTTATAAGAATTACGTTTTTTAAATGTATTTTCTTCCAACTGGCGGTTTCAGCATAAAACAAGTAAAAACAATTAGCTAATTATTTAAACTTATAAATTCTCTAAAAAATAATGCATATTATTCTTATCTGTCTGCAATTCTCAATTAAATTTACATTGTTTTAAAATTATTTTTGTAGTTTAAGCCAGTTAAGCACATTTATATGCAATTATTGAAACAGAATCATAATATAACCTCTTATAAATTAAACAAACATACTTAAAGTATTTAATTTAAACATACTTAAATTGTTGTAATCCTGCATGGAAACTAGTCTGTCACATTCATTTTTTAAATAATATTTTATGTAGTACACACTACATTCAAAAAAAAAACTGAGTTTTTTTCTAATAAAAACATCTAAACATCCTTAAATTCTCCTGAGAAGCAAAATGTCCTTATATATTAATATTAAGAGAGACTTTGTTAATTTTGTCTTACCCCATTGTTCTGCTTTGTGCTTAAATTTAGAAGAAAAAATAAATAAATTAAACTTCCAATTCAAGGTATATCCTCTGATAAGTCTATTATCTACAGTTTTGTTCTCAAATAAATATATCTTCTTTTAAGGACGTTTAGATATTTTTACTGAAAAAAGAGACTAAAACTCTGCTTAAAGAAGTGATTTTTGCAATGTTGGAGGTTAGTTGATGTTTGCCAGTGGCTCTTGGGTTTGCCCTCACAGAAGTAAGGGTAAGAAAGCGTACAGTCTGCATCATTCCACAGCCTCTGTCTGTCCACAGTTACCCGGGCATGAAGCTGCCCACAATCCTCACCATTCATTCGGACATCCCAGTCATCTGGTTGACCTTCGTCCCAGTGGCTGAAACAGACATCAGCAGTTACTTAGCGCATTTGGAGTTGTATCCCATTGACCTCCTCTCATTATTTTATTGGTTCTTACTGTTCAGTAGTACTATAGTCAGTTCCATCTACCCAGGTCCACTGTCCCTCTTCTTTCTCAACAAGCCCGATTGACTTCACGAATGAAGACAGGAAGTCCTGGTTCAAAAAGAGGCCAAACTCACGTTTAACCTCACATAAAGCTCCCACAAATTATTG